AAAAAAAAAAAAAAAAAAATCTGTTTTTTCCAGGTTTATGTTTTGTGCTGTGTACCAGATCAGTACTGTTGGGATGGCTCACTCCTCTTATTCCCAGAATTCTTCCTGGGAAACTAGCGTTCACAATTATTAGAATGTGAAAACAAACAAGATGATCCATTTTAACACCCTCACTTTACAGATGAGGAAGCTAAAGTGCAGGGTTGACAGTGACGTAAAGAGAATTGCACAGTGGGCAGAGGATGGGCTTTGGGATCAGGCAGGTTTGGATCTGCTGCTCAGCAGTGATGTGAACTTCGGCAAGCTGATTGATATTTCCACATTGCACTTTCATCTTCTGTTAAGACAGTTCTTGGGTAAATCGTGTCTATAAGGCACTTACTCAAACAATGAACTCAAAATTCGCCCATAATAATACTATTCACTATGAACTCAAAATTTGCCCAATAATACTATATTCACTGTTTTTTGAAAATTGAGACACAATTCGCATAACAGAAAATTCACCATTTTAAAGTGTACATTTCAGTGAGTTTTAGTGCTAGGTTGTGCAACCATCACCACTATCTAATTCCAGAACATTCCTTCACCCCCCAAAACCCTGAATCTATTAGCAGTGAGTCCCAATTGCCCTCTCCCCCAGCTCCTGGCAAGCGCTAATCTTTCTGTCTCTATGGATTTGCCTGTTCTGGACATGTCATATAATGGAATCATACAACATACAGCTTTTTGTGGGCTGATTTCTTTCGCTTTGCATAATGTTTCCAGGTTTCACCCATGTTGTAGCATATAATTTATTCCTTTTTACTGACAAATAATATTCTATTATATGGATATATCAACATTTGTTGATCTGTTCATCAGTGATGGAAGTGGCAGACCCAGCTATCAGGTGTGATGGAAAACAGTTGCCATTGTTTTAATGGTTAGGTCAAAGCCAGAATGAGGATTTGGGTGTCCCACTTTCAATCTAGTCTTGTGTTTATGCCCTGCACTCTTTTTCATGACATCTGAGTACGTGTATTTTAAATAGTAGCACACGTGTATTTTAAATTTTAAATACAGCCTAGCTACCTACTTTTAGGATTTTATACCTTTCCGTGGATTTTTCCACTATGGAAAAAATGTTTACAATGCAAAGAAATGAAATCTATACATTATGGAAAAATTGTGCCGGGCACGGTGGCTCACACCTGTAATCCCAGCATTTTGGGAGGCTGAGGCAGGAAGATCACAAGGTCAAGAGATCAAGACCATCATGGCCAACATGGTGAAACCCGTCTCTACTAAAAATACAAGAATTAACTGGGTGTGTTGGCACACGCCTGTAGTCGCAGCTACTCGGGAGGCTGAGGCAGGAGAATCACTTGAACTCGGGAGGCAGAGGTTGCAGTGAGCCAACATCGTGCCACTGTACTCCAGCCTGGTGACAGAGTGAGACTCCGTCTCAAAAAAAAAGAAAAAAGAAAAATTGTGCTGAGAGACAGTTTTCATTTTTATTTTCGAGACTAGTGGATGGTGTTTTGTTTGTTTGTTTTTTTGAGATGGAGTCTTGCTCTAACACCCAGGCTGGAGTGCAGTGGCACAGTCTCAACTCACTGCAACCTCTGCCTTTTGGGTTCAAGTGATTCTCGTGCCTCAGTCTTCTGAGCAGCTGAGACTACAGCCACGCACCACCGCACCTGGTTAACTTTTGTATTTTTAGTAGAGACAGGGTTTCACCACGTTGGCCAGGCTGGTCTGGAACTCCTGACCTCAGGTTATCCTCCTGCCGCAACCTCCCAAAGTGCAAGGATTACAGACAGGCATGAGCTACAGCACCCGGCCTTATGGATGGTCTTAATGCCTCTTTGTCCCTCTGTATTTCACAGGATGACCTGGCGTCTGTACAGTATCTTTTATCTGTCTGGTTTTATACATGTATGGTTTCTAGCCTGGGATCAAAGAAGGATTTTATTGAGTTTGGTTCATGTTTGAGTCATGAGTGTCCCTTTGTTGTTGTTGTTCACTTTATTCCATGGCAAAAATTCAGAATTATTCTCTCCTTTGGTTAGACAGTCACTGTCATTCAATTAATGTGACCATTAGGTATGGGGAATATATGCCTTGGAGCCAGAATTTAGTGCATTTCAAGCACATGTGGTCACCTCTCCTTCCCACTCCCTTGCCTGCTACCTAAGTGAAAGCTCACTATGAGATGAGAGGAGGCCTTTATGACCTGGCCTCCTTCCCATGTAATGTAATGACTGCCCCAGCTCTCAGGTCTGATTTCCCTGCTGACAAGATCACAGAAGGCACGTTAATGTCTATTTACCTGCAGTCATCATTTCTTCAGAGGCAGCGCTGCACGTAGCCCCAGGCTTTTACTGCGTGGGTGTATAAGATCCAGAAGCAGATCTGATTTGTGAAGGATTTGGTTGTTGACACTTTTGCTTAGGAATGAGTGATGTGTAGAATGTGGCAAGATTCCAGTGGGGAAGGTGTTTTCCTGGGTTCATCAGGGATTTGTGCTACTTTATCTTAGGTAGCACAAGTGGAGGGTCCAGCCCAGCCTGGTTTCCTGACTTTGTGCAAGGGTTTTCTTTGCCAAAGCTTTGATGATCCGGTCCTGAATACCCCTAATTACTCATTTCATTTGATGTTGTATTTTCTTATCGTTCTTTAAGATCTGGGGCAGTTATCATGTGTCATGCTTCACATACCTTATCTCCTTTATATTATTTCCTGCTTCTAAATATCTGCCAGCCCTCACATATGAAAAAGCGGCTGACCCTGACCCTTGTCTTCTCCATGCTGAGCGTCTCTTATTCCTCCAGCTGTTCCTGGTTGACACGGTCTCCAACAGCCTTTTGTCCTGGTCCGCCTTTGTCTACGTGTTTTCCACATTGTCAGTGCTCCTCCTAATGTGATGTCCAGACTGGAAATGACACTCCATGTGTGCTATGATCAGCCCAAACTAGGACTGTTATCAAGACATGAGCCCGATCCTCATTCAACACAGTGCACGGTTGCCACCAGCGCCTACTTAGCCAGTTGCCTATTTGTTTTGTTTTGTGTTTTTAGGGACAGGGTCTCACTCTGTCACCCAGGCCGGAATGCAGTGGCATGATCTCGGTTCACTGCAGCCTCTGTCTCCCAGGCCCAAGTGATCCTCCCACCTCAGCCTCCCGAGTAGCTGGGATTACAGAGGCACGGACCACCACACTGGACTAATTTTTGCATTTTTAGTAGAGATGGGGTTTCACTATGTCGTCCAAGCTGGTCTCAAACCCCTGGGCTCGAGCAGTCTGCCCACTGGGCCTCCCAAAGTGCTGGGATTACAGGTGTGAGCCACTGTACCCATCCATCAGTTGGCTTTTAATACCAGTCACTGGCTGTTACCCCTACTCATGAGGCATAGGCTCCTGTTGTTGTGCTGTTGATGATTTGCTCCTAGGAGCAGAACTTGATACTTCCCCTAATCCACTCTATCCATGTTTTACCCTGGGGACTCAGAGTTTCATTCCATTGGAACTATATGGATGGGAGCCTAGCATAATTCCGATGCAAGAAATAGTGGGAGTGAAGAAGTGTTTTATTTTTTAATGATATGTTAGCACTGGCTCTGGTCCTAGAAAAATCCTTCTCCAACTCCTGATCCTATAGTACTTAAATTAGTCATTTCTAGTTCATGGGGTTTTGTGTTTGTTTTGGGAGTTTGAGAGTAATTGTTTGCATCAATTATGACAGATTAAAAGAGTGAATCGGGTGGTGAATCTCTTCAGGAAGCTCAATACCTCAGTCCATCGGCCGACTTGTTGTCACTTGGGTGGACCCTTGAATGCCTCTGTCTGCTGTGCTGTCCAGGAAGGGTGCATGGGGTTCTAACTGGCACCTGTCTGTCTGTTGCAGTTACCTGGCTGAGCAGTGCTGGAATGGCGGCTTTATCTACCTGATCATGCTGCGTCGCTTTAAGCACAAAGCCCACTCCACTTATAATGGCAACAGTAGCAACAGCTCTGAACCAGGAGAAGCACCTACCTTGGAGCTGGGTGACCGAACTGCGAAAAAGGGAAAACGAACCAGAAAGTTTGGGGTCATCTCCAGGCCTTCTGCCAACAAGGCCCCTGAAGAATCCAAGGGCCGCATTGGCTGTGAGGTGTCCAGTGACCCCAGCACTGAGCTGGAGAACGGCCCTGACCCTGAACTTGGAAATGGCCATGTCTTTCAGCTAGAAAATGGCCCAGATTCTCTCAAGGAGGTGGCTGGACCCCATCTAGAGAGGTCAGAAGTGGACAGAGGGACAGAGCATAGAATTCCAAAGACAGATGCTCCTCTGACCACAAGCAATGACAAACGCCGCTTCTCAAAAGGTGGGAAGACGGACTTCCAATCGAGTGACTGCTTGGCACGGGTAAGGTTTGGTTTGATTACGGGACCAGAATTTTATGTATTGTGTGTGTGTGTTTTTGCAGCCCAGCCCATGTGGGAAATACAAGCTGGGCTCAGAACCAGAATTTTAAAAGAAATATTGTTTGAAGTTGCTTTTAAGGTTTAAATAATAGACCTAAGGTGACCTCGCATTGAGAAGCCAACAAATGAATTAAGAAAAGTGATCGGAGGAGAATGACAAAAAAGCTCCAGTCATTTTATCCTACATAAATAAAGAACTAGTCAAGTGATCCTAAGTGGAAAACTCAAGCCTTCTGTGTTTGAGTCATGTGAGGTCCAGATAAAGTACTTAGCTGCATCATTATTTATCGCTGCTGTCCCCGGTGGAATTGCTGCTGCAAGGCCAAGAATTCCTCGTGGCAGTTGACACCACAAACATTTAAGCCTCAGTATTACACAGGAAGGGTATTCAATACACAGGGAAGCATCTGCTTTTATTTTTAGCAGTTCAAAATTAGTGATGTTTTCATGGGATCGTGTTATTACATTGCTGAATTCTAGGGAAGTTTGGAAGCTTGACAGAAATCTCTGATACTATGAAATCCAGCTGCGAGGGTCAAGGTTGGTTACCACACCTGCTTTGCCTTTAGGTGTATTCTGAATGATAAGGGGTAAGCTTCTAGCCTCAAATGGTCTCCCTCATTATCACCAACATTCTGTCTTATGAGGATTACATTTCTTTAGGGTAGACATGTTCATTCCAAGAATCTTCCTAGATATTCCTGCAGGCTGCAGTTGAAACGGTAAATTGCCGATGTGTATGCTGAGTGGTTTCTTCTCTGACTCAGGAGACAACCTTTAGGGATGAAAGAGAAAGTTATAAAGATGAAAATGGGTGTAGGAGTATCATGTTGAGGCCAGGCGTGGCGGCTGGTGACTGTAGTCCCAGCACCTTGGGAGGCTAAGGATGGTGGATTGCTTGAGCTCAGGAGTGTGAGACCAACCCGGGCAACATGGTAAAACCCTGTCTCTACCAAAAATACAAAAAATTGGCTGGGGACCTGAGTGGGAGGATGGCTTGAGTCTGGGAGGCAGAGGTTACAGCCAAGATTGCGCCACTGCACTTCATCCTGGGTGACAGAGCAAGACCCTGTCTCAAAAAAACAAACCAAAAAGAATAAAGTTGAGTTTTGTCTGCTGAGAAATGGTGCCCTGGGCATAAGTGTGATTTCTGCCATTGTAGCCAAATGTACAATGGGTTGAAAAGCATTACAGTAACCCCTCTCTCAAGAGGTTATGTTCCTTCATTTGAGGAGCGGGGTAATCTTCATAAAGCTGGACACAGAGAAGGCATTATTTGTAAATAGAATGTGTGAATAAGAAAATAATTGATGTCTCCATCAATGATTTGCTACCAATTTTATGAGTTCCCCCAAAAAGGATTAAGGACAAAAAAAAAAAGATTATAATATATACCTCTTCCAAATTAAGGGCTGTGAAAGTATTATAATGTGTTTCTTATCAGTGCGTACTCTATCTTGATAGGATTTCTTCCCTAATGATTAGATTGTGCATACACGGAAAGCCTAATGTGAGCAAAATAAGGTAGTGGGTATCGGCTCCCTTAATCATTTGGAGGTTTAAAGCACCAAAGAAGGTTGAATCTCACATACAGTCCAAAGAATAGGCCTTCATTTGACCTAGGACACAGTGGAAATAATTTGGAATGATTTTAAAACAAACAGGGCCAGGTGCAGTGGCTCAGGCCTATAATCCCAGAACTTTGAGAGACTGAGGCAAGTGGATCCCGTGATGCCAGGAGTTCATACCAGTCTGGCCAACGTGGCAAAACCAAAAATACTAAAAATACAAAACTTAGCTGGGCATGGTTGTGCATGCCTATAATCCTAGCTACTCGGGAGGCTGAGGCTGAGGCATGAGAATCACTTGAACCCGAGAGGCAGAGGTTGCTGTGAGCCAAGAATCGCACCACTACCCTTCATCCTGGGCAACAGAGTGAGACTGTCTCAAAAACAAACAAAACCTAAACTTTTAAGAGATTACTCATCCTCTGCTCACCTTAATTAAGCATAATAATTCTATTAATAAATTTAATTAAAATTGAACTTCTGGATTCGCTATTTGAAGACTACACATGTCAGAGTTCCTTTGCCTGGTTTTTATGCTCAAGGTCAAACATCCTATGACGTATAAATGAAAGAGTGAAAACAACCAAACTGCGATCCATTGCCTTTAGGGCATTTTTTTAAAAAGCCGTATGCCTATAGAAAGGGGAGACTTGCCATCTGGAATTTGCATTCTTTGTAACTGTTTATAATTCATATTCTGAGTTTTGGCACCGGGTCATACCTTTTGCCTTGGTAAATCAGAATGGACCACACGTTTTCTCAGGCTCAAATATTTTAGCACCCTGTTCAACCATAAAATTATCTTTATTAGGTGCACTTGCCCAGGATTAGTAGGGTTGGCAAAAAGTAGATTTTCACAGCTTTCCCCCGCATTCTGGTGGCACCCGAATTGGAACCAACAGACCTTCACACAAGACTGTTTAGGTTCTTGGGATTTTTATTTTTACTCCAGGACAGAGACCAAGGTCATGCTAAAATGGAATTTCCAGAAAAACAGAAAATGCCTATTTACCTCTTAAGCCTTTAGGGGAGAAAATTTTGTTCCATTTGAATAATGGGAGATTAAACATGTGAGTATTTTTCCATTTCTGCCTTTATAATGATTTAATATAGCTGCAAAAAATTAATAAATGACAGAAAAGCTCATAAGCATTCAGACCATTTTTGTTTGTCAGGCACTTCTTTTTCATAGACTGTTACTTGTTCTAAGAAAATGTTCCATTAAAATAAACCCTCAGTCTTGCCTTTTCCATCCGGTTCCCTCCTAATAGAGCAACAGGAGATATATCTCCTTTAAACAAATTTTTCTTTTTTAAAAATGGTATTTTCTATAAAACATTAACTCACAATAATACATATACAAGCAGATTACTATTTAAAAAGGCAAAGTTGGATTTATCCTCTGAAACAGAATCTCCTAGGACGTAGACAAACTATTTTACACATGAGTTCAAAGTTCCTCATTATCTTCTTAGCAAAGATCTTTACTGCTCTAAGATGAGACTTTTTGCGAATCTGCTTATATAGAACGTAATGTATTTTTGTAATGCTACATGTTGAAAATGAATACAACCAACTGTAGTCACATAACAAAAAAAGAATCCTACCACTTGCCAAGCAGGACAGTTTATTGATGACTGGCATGGGAATGTCTATGGGTACATTTGTAGTATTTCCCTAGGAATCGTAATCTACCCTGTACAGTACCAGACCCTTTTCCTATGCCTCCTCTGTAAGTGGTTCAGCAGAGTCTCATGCAGGCTGCCCGGATCTGCGTCTGCAGAAACGGGTAGAAAACTCAGAAGGAGCGTCACACTCAGAACATCTCCCTGATGAGCCCTCATGTTTGCATCAGAGGCAGCCTGAGGATGGTCCTTTTCCAGGAAGCCCCCTTGGTCACTGGGTGAACTCACATTGTCCTACATGGTAACATCTCCCAAGTCTGTGTGTGAGCCTTCAGCTCTCTCCTGAGCCCTGATGGCCACTGGGCAAACTTACATTGTCCTACCTGGTGACATCTCCCAAGTCTGTGTCTCAGCCGTCAGCTCTCTCCTAAGCCCCCTGAATTTTGTGCCCACTGCCTGCATGATGTCTCCATGTTGGATATTTCACATCATGCCTAAAACTTAGCGCATCCCTTTCTCATAGCACTGAACCCACTCCAATGCTCTAGGTCTCCCCGTCCCCAAAGTTTGCCCAAGCTGGAAGTTTGATGAGATTCAATGGGGGTGACCAACCATCCTGGTTTGTCCAGAACTTCCCCTGGTTTCTCACTGAAAATCCTGGGAAACCCTCCGTCCTAGGGAGACCGGGACAGCTGGTCATCTTGGAGTCACCTGAAGCACTTCCTGCTCCCTTCTGCTATGTTCGGTCAATCACCAAGTTCCGTCAACTGTAGCTCCTTTTGAAATCCTGCAGCTCACCCTCCCTCTCTCTTTACTCCCGTAACTTCAGGTCAGGGCTAGGCTGCTTTCATTGCGCCCCTGGGCTGTCATAGTGCTCCCCTACCTGGGACATCGCCCCCATTCCTATCCCATTCATCCACTGTCCCAACTGCCACCAGAGGGACCTTTCTAAACAGCACATCTCATTACTCACACACATGCACATAGGTGCACAACATACATGTGCGTGCACACACACACACTGGCTGAAACCTGTTTGGTGGGTCCACTTTGCCTTCATGGTTGTTACCAAACACCTTGTCAGTCATTCGAGGCCCTTTATTATCTGATTCCTGCTTAACTGTCTGCGTCCATCTCTCACTGCTTTCTTTTTTTCTTTTTTACCTTTACCAGTTTATTATATAATAAAGAATACAGATGAAGAATTGCATAAGGCGAGGTCCGGAGGGTTCCCAGCACAGGAGCTTCTGTCCCTGTGGAGGAGGGTGGGGGTGAGGGGGGTGCATCACCCTCCTGGCACGTGGATGTATTCACCAACCTGGAAGCTCTCTGAACCCCATACTCTAGGGATTTGTATGAAGGCTTCATCCTGAAGGCATGATCATTTGTTAACTCAAACTCCAGCATTTCTCCCTTGACTCCAGAAGATGGGGGTAGGGCTGAAAGTTGAAAGCTTCTCATGGCCTGTCCTTTCTGGTAACTAACCCCCATCTGGAAGCTATCCCTGATGTCCAGTTTCTTACGCTTTCTTCCTCCCTGATTTGGAGTGAATTCACTGCAAGCTTTTTCAAAAGCCATGCTTACTGTCACCTCTGAGCCTTTGCGAGTGCTGCACTCACTACCTGGTTTCTTCTTCCCTCTCCTGTGTCGCTGAGCTTCTACCTTTCCTGGGGGACCAAGCCTCAAGACACCCTCCTCTAGAAGGCCTCCGTGACATTCCTGCCACCTGCTCTGTGGTTAGCCGTCTC